TGTTGACTCACCGTTCGCGTCTCGATATCGATGTCGATGTCGACGGTGTAGCGCCTTCTTTTGGTGCTGAGGACGGGCGTGCAAGAGAAGTAGCTCGCCGAGGGGTAGCCATTTTTCTTGAGCCGCTCGAGGACGGTGATGGGGGTTTTGGCGGCGGCTTCGTAGAGCCTTTGAATGAAAACTGGTCGACTATCTTGCGTGAAGAACCCGCTGTCCGTGTGGTGCTCCCGCGTGAAGTGCGTCTTCAGCTCGCTGAACGATGTCAAATTACTTTCAGCTGCAACAATCCAAACGAAAAACAGGATTATCTCGGGAAAAATATAGCTGCGTACAGGGAAATAAAAATTAATCGGCACACAAAAGGAATAATTACACTGAAAAAAAAAGTACGGCAAATTTGGAGTTTCCTCAATTTCTTCGTTTTCCAATTCCCTGACTTCTGTAAATGAAAAGGACAGCTGAAGGGGTATCCCTCCGAAAATTAAAGGACACCATTTCGGGCTACACTGGAAAAAAATACATTGGATCTCGAGTCCAGACTCTTAAAAACATCGACAAGAAAAAGTACTCTTAATTCTCTTGATTCAATCAATAATACTCTTGATTCAATCAGATTTAAGCTTAAATCAAGAACCAAGCCTCTTAATTTGAGCGGATTTCCTTTTGATTTAAGTTTAAATCTGATTGAATCAAGACTCCTTTTTCTTGTCAATGTTTTCAAGAGTCTGGACTCCAGATCCAAGGTGTTTTTTTTTCCAGTGTATGGTATTTATACCATAACTAAGGTATATGTACCATTATTATATGTTGCCTTCACTGCGATTAGTGGTGTTCCATATTGACCACTAATTGTTTCAAAAGCCATAGATTTTTCTCCGTGTACAGATTCAATTTCTACCTTGCCTGAACATTTTTGGACTGAGATGCGTGCGATGAGAAAAAATTAAACGCCGACATAGCAGCAACTGTGAGCTGGAGTAATAATATCGCTAATAAGCTGTTCGACTCATGTCTGTTATGACAGGATATCCACGAGCGACAGCTTGCGCGGCGGGAACGGGCAGATGTGACAATTGAGAGACAATGGGGATGAGGGGGGTTATAATAAGTACTAGGGTTACCGAAACATCCCACCCCCTAAAATTTCGTGGTTTAAATTGGAGCTCTATTTTTCCAACGGACCCCGCGCTTGCTTCGAAAGGATCCTCGCGAGCACCATCGTGGTCATAAATTCAAGTTTGGTCACGCTGACCTCAACCGCGCTTAATCGATTTTAATGACCGATCTGAGGGTGACATGCTTCGTGGCAAGTAGAATCCCTTTATACTGAGAGTCAAGACAACACCCCTCATGGAGTCACAAACGGGAATAAAGATTACAGAAATTGAACGTTTTTCGTAATCTTTGATCGGTCCATTCTCGAATTCCTTTCTTCGTTCCTTCTCTCATTCCGTTTGTTCCTTGCCGAACCCGTAATTCCCCGGTCCATTCCAGATTATAATCTTTGCAATCAGTGAAAATGTAATCTTTATTCCCGTTTGTGACACTGTGAAGGCCTAAAATACGGGAACCAATCAGAAATGGATTCACGTTGTCTTGACTCTCAGTATAAAGGGACTTTAGTCGGAAGGGTCGTCCATGGAGATCGCTTCCGGATGGCACAACCTACGCTGCCCTGCCGAACATAAACGTCCGATGGATATTTGAGGGACTTTGAAAACAAGGCGCATACGTGCAATTTTGGTTAGTTCGAGAAATACGTGTTAGAAGTTTCGAACTTACATGAATCCTTATAGAGGAGATAAAGTTCAAAGTGGTTTTATGATGCTTAAAAATTGGAGTTTGGGAGCGAATTTTTCGCAGAATATACATTAAGACTATAGTTTTACTTGAAATCATTAATGTCACAATTTTTCCAAAAACTACACTCATACGCCTTGTCTGATAAGCCCCAAAGATTTCCTCGGCTTCCGCAGCGTTATTGATACCTATAGGTCTGTTATAACTCATGCGGCAGACCTCAGGAGAAACGTCGAGTTACTCACTGCGTCATGCCACCTAAGGCACACTGACATGCTGAGGACAAATGAACTGCATTTTGCAATTTGGACCTATAAATTCTGGCTCTTCTGGAAAAACACTTATGTGCATTGGGAAACTACTGGTACATACGTTGTTTTTAAACCGGGCTAGAATTTATAGTTCCAAATTGCAAAATGTAGTCCAAATGTCATATGTATGAAAATCTGAATGTTGCCACGTTTCCAGCGATAAAATATGAATTATGGAGAAAAGATGAGAGCACTTTTCCTTGAAATGTTTGGCTCGTCTAGATCAAATTGCAAATGAAAGTCTGTGAAAAATTGGAGGAAAAGTATTCGCAGGTCTCCCGAAAAATTCGTGTTTTATTGAAGGCAAAATGGCAACGTCTGAGGGCTCATACGGCGTTCTTCCTCGCACGGCAGCACAGTTCTGCCAACCGTGGCTCGGAGTGCGGTGGGCGGTGGATAATTGATTTGATTAGCAAGGGCGAGGCAAGAATGATCGATTATCGATATTTCTCCCATTTGAAACATTGGTAAAGAATCGATTATTAAGGTGTTCGTTGGCTATCGATTCTTATCCATAGGTTTAAATGAAAGATCAATCGATTTATCGCAAAGCACGCCACCGCCACTATTGATTGGGAGGTTGACGCACCTTGACTTGGCCTGACACACTGCATTTCGACGGTGAAACTACCAAACCACGTATCTCGGTTTGCGACGTCGCAGACTTCCTGTCATACTTTATTTTTTAAATGAAAAACTACTTAACGTCCAGTCTTGAAAATTTCTGTGATTTTTCCTCTTCGTGCGGAGAAAATTCTGTGAAAATTTCAAGGAATGATATTGATTTGGTCTACCTCAAAAAAATAAAATGCGAGCGTAGATTTTTAAACACCGCAAACGAGATACGTGGTTTGGTAGTTTCACCGTCGATTTGACCGTGACGATACGATCGATAGGTGAATCGGAAGGTTTTTGTCACCTTTTCTACTTGCTTCAATTCATAGCACACCTGAGTCCCCGAAGCGTAAGACAAAAGGAACAAAACCCGAAGAGGAGGTTTCGTTTGTGTCCTTTGAGTGTCCTTTGTGCGTTTCGAGATCGTCCACTTCACCCCTCTCCAGTAAAAGGGAGAAAAGATGAGAAGCCTTTCGTTTGAGGATTTCTGACATGCTACTCCGAAATCTGACCGGTTACGGAGGCTTACGGTCTCTTGTTAGTGAGAGTAAGAGCAATGCAATTGGCCCCAACCATTTACCGATAAAGAAATCTACGTTCATTTTGCTGAGAAATTCTGTGGAACTTCAGAGCAGTGGCGTGGCGTGAATTGCGATATATCGATTGTTATGCCATTTAAACCTATGAAAAAAGATCGATTATCAGGGTGCTCGCAGCGAACACCTTAGTAATCGATTCTTTACCATAGCTTCAAATGGCGAGATATCGATAATCGATTATTCACGCCACGCCACTGCTTCAGAGATCAAATTTTGAGGACAGAAAAACCACCTCGAAGTTGATTCGGTTTTCAAGCGCCCGAGGAATTCATTAAAACGTGGTAAAAATTTGAGTGAAGCCTTTCTTATAATGTATAACTTGAGCTCAAAGCTAGTTTTGGCGACGTAGCATTGCAAAGTTTACATTTTTTGCGCACATACATTGATAAGTAATATGAATTTTGCAATGCTATGCCACCACAATCATCTATGAACCTTGGTTGAGACTTTTACAAAAGGTATGTATCATAAAAGGTTTGTTTTGCGGGTTTCAATGAAAGTCCTAGATTCCCAAAAAAGGGAGAAAACCGAGAGTGTTTTACATAAAACGCTGACTTAACCGCCAAGTTTAAAAAGGACTGCTCGTTCTAGTTTTCAATGCGATCCTTCATTTGGACGTTATTATACAAAAATTCGATAAAAGATG